ATTATATCTGTAATAGACATTATAAAATTAAACTCAATATAAATAATTGTATAACTAATTAATTACATCATGTGTGGGATTAGATGTGTAATATTAAAGTTCCCTCCTGTTGTAATCGAAAGGTTAATAATACGTAACCAAAAGAAATAATGTGTTAGATATTAACTAAGTATGATCAAAGCGACATGAAATGATATGTAATATTGCGTAAATTATTTAACTATGTATATATGTAGTAACAAAGCACTAAGGTATTGATTATTTTCATATGGCTCCTAGAAAAAACAAAACTCGTAAGTGGATAAAAATAATATTTTTAAATCACCCTTATAATATGTACCTTTATTAATGTAGAAGCTTTATAGCTGTCACAAGAAGCATGTCTCCTATTAAAACTCGGTCAAAAAAAGCTAAAGGTATATTATTAATTTGTTTAATTTATTTCTGTATATAGTTTTATATTTTTACAAGCAACTTAAATATATATATATAGGTTCACCTTTTAAAGTATCAGATTTGCCCTCAAGAAAGAGACAAAATAATCAAAAATTGGCGAATGAACAAGATCAAAGAATCGGGAAACTAATCAATGAAAATCGTGGTGACGAAGATGAAAACTGCCTAGAGGAAGATAATATAGGAGAATATGAATACCGCTTAGAGGAAAATAATATAGGTATAATATTTAATTTGTTTGAGTCGCTTGTATTTATAATTTTATATTTTAACAAACAACTTGAAAATGATAATAATATATAGGTTCATCTTCTAAAGTATCAGCTTTGCTCTCTAGAAGGCAATATAGTCAAAAATCAGCGAATCAAGGAATTAGACAACATATTACTGAAATTTGTAGTGATGAAGATGACTATCGTTTAGAGGAGGATAATAATTATGAAGAAACATTGGGTATGTATTTAGTATATGATTTGAATAATTTAAGTAATTAACAACTTTATTTATATTTAATTTCTAGACGCTCTAAATTATGCTATTGAGAATGGTATATTGCATATAGACTAGAGTTGGGCCCCGAAACCTGAAACCTTTCTGAAACTTTCAACTTTGCTAAACTAGTACATATTCACTAAAAATAGCCAAAATATTTCTGAAATATAATCTAATTATCATTTATTTTAAGTTCTAAGGTTTAAATTTAAATTTCTAAGTCTTTTGATATGGTTTTGGGTTTCGGGGTTAGCTCTAAGATAGACAGAGTTTCAAATATATTAAATGAATGAACCTTGTATTAATATTACTTATTCCATATAACTATCATTTATTTAGCTAATCCTTCGAATTCTTCTGAAGCATTTACAACCAATAAAACATCATACCTTGAAAAGATATTACCTTCGAAATCTATAGCCAAGAATTCAGTAAGTAGGCATGCGAATACCCATACGACAGCAGTGGCTTTAGCAGCAATACCATCGTACATAAATGAGGGTAAGAATTATTTGTTTAATGTAATCTGATATAGTAAGCTACGTGTTAACAATTTTACATACTGTATTTAATAGATAATAAAACTACCAAGTTTTTTGACACATCTAATGAATTTGAAGTCGCATTGTGGGTAGCTGATCATCCAAGAATCCTGAATTTAGCTACGATTATTCGATGCTCCAAAATATCGAATATTGATGATGGTTACAAGATATTTTTGAAAAATAATAATATGTCGAATAATAATATGTCGAATAATGTTCAATCAAACATCTCTATTTCAGAAATAAGCCAGGTAAAAGTTTAACTATTTTACAATTATTAGTAGCATAAACTGATTTGAATATTCCAATTTTAGTATATAAAAGATAATCTCCAAGAAGAGTATAAGGCTCTTTTTTTACGTACACGAAACAACACACATGAACTATATGAAGAATTGGTTACACGTATTTGTAAGATTTCAAAAGATAATGTTCCTATGAAGAAACTAATTAAAGATGTTGGTATCTGGTATGATGGATACTGATGTAAATTCTATAATTCTATCTTAGATCTTGCAGATCAATTCTTCCAAACACATAGACGGTAAGTACGTATATGCAAAATTGCATTACCCAGGATCCAATATCCATAATATTTAAAGTTTTAAAGTTTTGAATGTGTGATACATAATTGCATATATATGCATATATATATTGATAATAAACTAATTATTAATTTTAGGGAAGAACCATTAGATGGCGTGTTATCTGAATTTACTGATGCAAATGTATGGCGTCAAATACTTCAATTACACTTGAAGTGCACTGATATGTTGGCATTGAAGAATGATCCTGAAACATTCATGAAGCTTGGCATTTTCGTGCGCCAAGCTCTTAAAGCAGTTCTTTTTGCAAAATGTAATAAACAAAGTACAACAAGTGCAATAAGGAATTGCAATAAATATACCATAGATTTAAAAATTCTGACAAGACTCGGCATCGTGAAATCATTGCAGTCCGAGAACTTCTGAATTTATAAGATTCCATGTAAATAGCAATTATTGCACTAAAACATCAATTAGTTATATGCATGTAATTAAAATTAGCTTATTACAAATCATTCAAATGTAGATACATATAAATGTATAAATTCTAGACTGAAAAAAAAACATTGCTTCATTCAATCTTTTTGCTTAAAATTTCTTTTTATTTTTTTTTATTGTTAATACTATTTTATTTTTTTCTTTATTTTAATTAATTATTGTGGCGGATCATAATGAAATCCAGATCAAAATGAAATTATAATATAAAATCTCGACAAATAAAATTTTTGGGGGTGCATTTTTTAGGGTTAGGGGTTAGTTTTAAAGTAAAGATATAATAAACAAGTATAAGTGGGTTTTAGAAGGTTAACAGGTTGAGTAGAAAATGTAGATTTCATTTTAAATTATGA